TGGCATAAATGTGTGGAGAAGAGAGAGATATATTGGACTGAGATCTTAGCTGAATTTTGTCAGAGCACTTCTGTGGTGCAATGGATGGGAAACCTGGAGGAGGAGTGAGGGTGAGGAGAAATAATCTTGGCTGTGAAAAGAAGAGAAATAGGAGAAGAGTTCCTTGGGGAGGAGTCTTGAGAAAAGGGTTTTGTTTTTAGGCTAGGGACCTGAGAAAGTTTAAAGGCTGAGGAAATGTGAGCATAATGTGACTAGTGATAGATAAGCAGAGACCATATCAAAAGCCTGGGGTGGGGGCAAATTTGACTTGATCAGCTTGGGCTTTTAAGGAAGGAAATTGTGGTGACCATGTTCATGGACACACTTTCAAGCGTGTGTGTGTGTGTGTGTGTGTGTGTGTGTGTGTAGGAGTTGATGGTTGATGGAGTTATTTTCTGGAAATTTCTATTCTTTCTGTGACATGAGACTCTGAAGTCAAGGAGTTAGAAGAACCTTCAGGAGTAGAGTTTTAGCCTCTGAGGAGAATGGAATGAGGAGCTGTCCAAGGACAAGCCAAGAGGAGTCATCGGTGGTACTGCAGGCTCAGCTGAGGCTAGAGGTTCTGAATCTCAGTGACTACAGGTGAAAGGACTGCTCTCAACAGCACAGGTGTAGAGAAGTTTCAATGGGACTGCTCCAGTTTTGTGGGTATTACCTGGTGGTTGCAAGGAAAGCATACAAAGTTGAGGGTGCCGACGAGAGAACTGACAATGGGGTCCAGACTTAGTAATGAAGGAAAGTGTGATAACTTCAGAAAAGTGTGGGTAACAGTCCCAGGGGAGCTTGGTGAAAATTAAATATGATAATCAACATACAAGTCTTGAGGAAGTGTGTAGGCAGGGCCTGTAATTTTACTCTGCTTACAAGTGAGCCTGCCAAAGGATGCTGACAGGAGATATGAGACTCCTGAGACAGAAACAAAAAAGTTTATTATTCACAGCAAAAGCAGTAGCCAGAGCTTCATGCTCATTTAATTTGGTTATGTATGTCCCCCAAGTCCTATGAAGACAACGCAAGGCCTGTGATACTCAAATACACATTGGGTTGACTTACAAGAGAGAGACACTAAATTTGGGGGTTTACCACTTTCTAATAAGCAGAAGCAAGCTTGCTGTTTGCCCAGGGAAAGACATTACCTCATCCTTCAAGGTTACTTGCTGCAAACACAACTCTGAAAAATGGTCTGGCTAGAGTGGTCAGAGCCTTGCATTCTTGGCGTACCCAGCAAGAACATACAGGAATGCTCAAACCTCATGGCATACTGTCTCTTCCAATAAGTATAGTGTATGGCAGATACTAGGTTTTCAACAAATATTAGCCACAATGATCATGTCATGTTCTTATTCATGATTAAGTTGAATTATCGTTAAAATTCAGGAGCTATAAATGAAAGAGTCAAAGATCCATGTGGCTCTTTGGTCCCTTGAGTGTGGCTCTTCCTAATTATATATATATATATAATTTCACCAGCAATAAGAGGTTTGATATTAAGCTTCAACAAAATGAAAACTCTGGAGTGTTTGACATATTTGTAGATAAAATGCAAAGAAAATAAAAACTACAAGTCTTTGAATATATTTGTTAGAGAAATTATTCTTTCTAACACTGTATTATGAAATATAAAAGTAGAACACATGATGAAGTGGCTAAAGTAAGCCATAAAGTAATCACACTTCTGAAAGCATAATGGGTAAGTGTGATGTACAGAGAAGAACTAAAAATGTGGCTGAGAAGGTTAATTTTCATCTTAAACTATTTACCTAAAAGTTCAAATGGGAACATATAAAACTGGGGGGAAAAATTCCAGGGTGGTTCTAAAGTCAAGGAATGGACTAAAAATCTTTGCTAGACAACTAAAATAAGATCTTTTTATTTGTTTGTTTTCATATGATTTCCCTTACATATGGAATCTAATGAACAAAATAAAATTAACACAGAAAATAGAAACAGATAGATACAGAGAACAGACTGACAGCTGTTGAAGGAGAGGGGAGCTAGGGAGCTGGGTGAAAAAGGTAAAGGGATTAAGCAAAAAAAAAATACCTCAACAACTCATAGACACAGACAACAGAAAGGTGATTACCAGAGGGAAAGGGGGGCTGGTGGGGTAGAAAGGGGGAAAGGGGGACCAATGGTGACAGAAGGAGATTTGGTTTTGGGTGGTAAACCCACAATACAATATGGAGATGACAGATTTATAGAATTGTATCCCTGAGACCGATATAATTTTATTAACCAATGTCAACCCAATAAATTCAATAAATAAAAAAATATTGTTTATGATCTATGTTCTAAATTGAAGGTTATAAAAACACAACACTTTAAAAAAAGATTATATATCTATATATCTATATATCTATCTATACATAGAAATATATATTGATTTCAGAGAGGAAAGGAGAGGGAGAGATATAGAAACATCAATGATGAGAGAGAATAATTGATCAGCTGTCTCTTGCATGCCCCACACTGGGTATCAAACTCAAAATCTGGGCATATGCCCTGACCAGGAATTGAAATGCGACCTTCATAGGTCAACCCTCAACTACTGAGCCACACTGGCCAGGCAAAACACAACTTTTAAACCATCCTTCAGCTCCTTTTCCTTGGAGTTTCTCTCCAACTTTACAAGATGATAGGGATCCTCTGCACTCTGATTTTGGTTGAGTCTTTACTTTTTCTTGTCTCTTATTCTCTGATGTCAAAATCTTTAAGCTTGAGAAGGCATTCTCAAAGGGAAAGAGTTTTCTTACAATTGAATATTCAATAAAACCACATCCTTTATGTGTTCTCATATTAACCTTAATTAAAGGGGTATTTTCTCAGGCTCTTTCTATAAGAACATGGGTTCTCGCCCTAACCAGTTTGGCTCAGTGGATAGAGCATCGGCCTGCGGACTCAAGGGTCCCAGGTTCGATTCTGGTCAAGGGCATGTACCTTGGTTTCGGGTACATCCCCAGTGGGGAGTGTGCAGGAGGCAGCTGATCGATGTTTCTCTCTCATCGATGTTTCTAACTCTCTATCCCTCTCCCTTCCTCTCTGTAAAAAAAAATCAATAAAATACATTTTAAAAAAAGAAAAAAGAAAGAACATGGGTTCTAGAGCAGTGGTTCTCAACCTTGGCTGCACATTAGAATCACCTGAGAATCTTTTTAAAATCCTGATTTATGGGCCCCATCCTCTGGAAATTCTGTTTCTTTGTTATGGGGTGGGGCCACAACATTAGTAACAAAGAAACAGAATTTCCGGAGGATGAGGCCCAGAAATCGGGATTTTAAAAAGATTCCCAGGTGATTCTAATGTGCAGCCAAGGTTGAGAACCACTGTTCTAGAGGGTACTGGAAAATGCTATTGTTAATACCATGAGCTCAACCCTTCCCCAACCGTCCCCTAATCCCAAACAAATATTCAGTGTCTGAGCCCTAGTATAATCGAAGCCCATTACTGATCTAAAGTTATTCAGGGTTTTCCTTTCTAGTTATAATTGAAAAACATTAATAAGAAAACTAAACTAAAACATGAAAATGGCATAGAACTGAGCCTAACTCCACCCAAATGAGTCAAATTATGACCTAACTGTCCTCTTAGGTTTATCATTCTGGCTAATAGGTTTTTTTGCCCAAGTTATTTTATTTCAGATTAGCCAGTTGGGGGCACCATCAGAATCTGGTTTGTGAAGGATTTGGGACAGCTGACTTAAATTTCAACTGGATTTGCTAGCTCAGCTAGAGCACTGATTATTGGTATGGTTCAATATCCTAGGTCTGTGGTCGGCAAACTGCGGCTCTCGAGCCACATGCGGCTCTTTGGCCCTTTGAGTGTGGCTCTTCCTAAGCCTTAGGGGTACCCTAATTAAGTTAATAACAATGTACCTACCTATATAGTTTAAGTTTAAAAAATTTGGCTCTCAAAAGAAATTCCAATCGTTGTACTGTTGATATTTGGCTCTGTTGACTAATGAGTTTGCTGACCACTGCCCTAGGTCAGTGGTTCTCAACTTTGGCTGGACATTAGAATCACCTGGGAATCCTTTTAAAATCCTGATTTCTGGGCCTCATCCTCCGGAAATTCTGTTTCTTTGTTACTAATGTTGTGGCCTCACCCCATAACAAAGAAACAGAATTTCTGGAGGATGAGGCCCATAAATCAGGATTTTAAAAAGATTCTCAGGTGATTCTAATGTGCAGCCAAATTTGAGAACCACTGATCTAGGTCATAGGGCCGAGGATGTAGTTTTGTCAGGTTTATCTCTAGGCAGATCCCAGTTTCCTGCAGGCTCAAAATTGAAATACAGCATCTTCATTTATACATTATTATAAAGATGAAGGGAAAAGAAGAGGGAGTAATACAACTATATCAAACTAAAAACTTTTGTCTAGTGGTAAAAGTTCAATGGTGGGACCTTTATATTATTACAGTTGACATACAATATTATATTAGTTTCAGGTGCCCATCATCGTGATTTGACATTTATGTAATTTACGAAGTGATCACCCCAATAAATCTAGCACCCATCTGACGCACAATGGTGGGGCTTTTTAATCTTCCACATACACAAAATGAAAGAGGTTTATTTTTAAGAAGTTTCAACTTACTATTAACTTCAAGTAAATGATATGTTTATGTGGGGCTTTGAAAAATGTATAAACCTCCCCCCCTATTTCTTTCAAGAACTCAGAGAAAGGACGCTTAAAATTAGCTTAATCCCTTGCATTTGTCAAAGATCAGCCAATTAGCTTACTGGGGTAAATTATTGAAAACAAATCAAGGCGCTTCATCCCCCACTCTTCCCATTTTTTAATGTAAATATATTTCATATGGTCAAAATAAAGTGTCTTGTCTCTATCCTGTCAGTAGTTAAGTAATCAGAATGAACTAATTGCAGAATACTGCCCTAAACCAATAATAGGCAACTCTTTAAAATAAAACGCGAAAGTGCAGAGGGCCCAGCAGCATCCAGGATGGAGAAACCCAGGCCTCCTGAGGGCTTCTCGCCTCCCTCCCAGCACAGACAGCCACGCAGGTTCAGCCGAGAAGAACTGCAGAAGCTGGAGAGCTTCTTTCAGAGCAACCAAAAACCATCCGTTGAGGAAAGACAGGACCTGGCGGCCAGTTTGAAATGCGAGCAGGACCGAGTGAAGTTTTGGTTCAAGAATCGCCGGGCCAAAGAGGCTAGGTTTCGGAAACAGTCCAGGCTGCAAGGCCCGCAAGCCAAGGCTGCGCCCCAGGACCCCGGACCCTGCCCGCCTCCACCTGCACCTGGGCCTCCGCCTCTGCCTGGGCCGCGGCCTGCACCTGGGCCTCTGCCTGAGCCTAGGCTTCCACCTCTGCCTTCAGTTGTGTCTCCGCCTAGGAGGACTCGGACTCCACCTGTGCCTCCACCTCCACCTCCGCCTCCATTTGTGTCTCCGCCTAGGAGGACTCGGACTCCACCTGTGCCTCCACCTCCGCCTTCGTTTGAGCCTTGGTCTCCACCTCCGCCTCCATTTGTGTCTCCGCCTAGGAGGACTCGGACTCCACCTATGCCTCCACCTCCGCCTTCGTTTGAGCCTTGGCCTCCACCTCCGCCTCCATTTGTGCCTCGGCCTCCACCTCCGCCTCCATTTGTGCCTCGGACTAGGAAGCCTCGGACTCCACCTGTGCCTCCGCCTCCATTTGAGCCTCATCCTTGGTCTCTGCCTTCGTTTGAGCCTCGGCCTCGGCCTCAACTCGTGTCTCGGCCTCGGCCTCGGCCTCCACCTGCACCTACAGGCCCTGTGTCCCCGAAAAGACCCTGAGGACCCTGAGTTCTCAGAGGACCCTGAGTTCTTGGAAAACCCTGAGGACCCTGAGGACCCCGAGTTCTCGGAGGACCCTGAGTTCTCAGAAGATCCTGTGTTTCCCAGGGCCCCCCGTGTTCCCTGGAGGATCCTGTGCTCGCCGTGGACCCTGTGTTCTCAGAGGGCCCAGGTTGCTGCAGCGCCCCTCCTCCCTGTCACTTCCCAGTCGCAGCAGCGGCACCCAGTGTGTCCAGCCACAGCCAGGCCTGGTGGAATTGTGTGCAGGGCACCCAGAACATAGTCCAGGCTGCACCAGCCCCCGCTCCAGCTGAGCCCCCAGTCTGGCTTCAGGGCCCTACGCCAGACCCTGTTGGGACCCCTGATTTCACAGAGCTGCGCTCACCCTAAGACCCCTTGGAGGGACCCTCCTCCTCCACCACCTGGGTCCTGAGAAAGGGATGACTTTGTGGATTAGAAGGACTCAGCGCCTGACTCCATACGGGATTGTGTCCCCGCAAAGTACTGTAGATCCCGCCGGTGCAGGACGTGTCTGGCCTGCTTGGTGCGCTCACGCGGGTGTGGGAAGCGGTGACTGCAGGTTACGCTCCTGCAGCATGAAGGAACCTCCATTTACCCAACTTTGGGAGGCGGCATTGCTGTGTTCACTGTGAAGCCACCCGGAGTCCTGCAGCTTTAATGTCCCCGCCGCATTATTTAGGGCACCCGTGACATTTCTGCAGGTTTTCAGGTCTAGGAGCAGAGCTGCTGCTCATGGTGGATGTCCACTTTAGTGGTGCTGCCCGCAACCTTTCCAAAGGACCTAGACCAGCCTTGTAGGCCATTTAATTTAAATTGCATTAAATCCATAAATGTTTCTGGCGGGAACTGACATCTTTCTACACTACTGAGCTTTATAAACTAAGTGAATTATTCCTTCACTTGTTTGTTTACAAGTCTTCATGAAGTGTTATTTTAATCATCAAGGTCTTAGGTATATATTTGTTTAGATTTACTTCCAATACGTTTTTACTGTCTGACATTTTGGGTGGTATTTTAAAATATGTCCATTTTTGTAGGATTCAGTGGACATATTATTTTATCAGGGACCTGACTCAAATTGTTAAAATTCTATAACTTTTTGGACATTGTTTGGGGCTTGATAATTTTTAATTTAATAGAGTGCATGGATATCTTGTAAAGTAAATAAATCAAATAAAACTCGAAAAGAAAAGCAATGCTAAAGGTGAAGACTATCTCCTATCAGGTCATCTCCTCTCCCTCTCTCATATTCTAGAATTGTGTAAGATTTGGGAATTCATGTCATGTGTCCTCTGGCAAGGAGCCAATGAGTCTCTGTTCCAGCATCTGGAGCCAGATGAATATCCTGGGGAAGATAAATCTAGCAGAGGCATCTGGTCACCTTAGTCCTACCTTCACTCCAGGTGTGAATTTGTTTTAAAAAATCATCTGAGACATAGTACAAATAATTGCATTTTTGTTTATGATCCCATTTAGTAAAACAGCTGGCCTGTCAAGAATTCAGGAATAAACACACGCTTCTCAATATAACAGTAAACTTAGTTAAGCCATCTGCTGGCTTAGTGGCGGCAGTGCCTGTAAACAGTGTGGATGGAAGGAAAGATCAGATCCCCATTAGATGTGCCTTGCTCTTGCTCTTGTTTTCCCTTTTCCACAGGGAATTGTAAGTTCCAACTCAGTAGTTAGCATTGTCTTCTTCCTCACATGACTCCAGTATCCAGGCATTAGATGCTTTGTGTTAAATGAGAAAAACTCAGCGGAATAGTTTGTCCTAAAGAAGGTCTTTTGTGAAATCCATCCAAAAATCCAAAAGTAGGAGTGATATCTGTTTGTGAGTAAATTGGGTTACCTGAGGTGAAGCTGAGTCACTAAAGCAGTAAGCCCAATCGAGAAGAGAGCCACCTGCAAGGACTTTAATGTGCATTCTGATCTCTAAAAGCTGGATTAGCATTGAAGAGAAAAAATCCAAAGACCCTTGGCCCATTAGCATTTTAGCAATTGTTTTGGGGTAGCTGTGATGTGGTGGATAGAGCCCAGTCTCAGTTCTTCTCTGCCTTATCTCAAATTTACTGAGCTGTAAAGAGTTGATATATGGTGCCCAACATGGGGCCTGAGTGTGGGGGAATTGTGATTGTGGGGTAAAAGGAGGCTCTCTTGAGGCACATGCAGAAAAAGTAAAAGTAAGGTAGGGAGCGAGGATGCTAATTATGGAGTATAAAACATGGGAAACTCAGGATCCCAGGAAGGGGATCCTTAAAAACAATGCTTAGTGAGCATTTTTAAATTTCTTAAGGAGAAAATAAGTGGTAGAGAAAATAAGCAGTAGGGTAAGAAAATATAGAAAATCCTATCTAATAAAGAGGGAATATGCTAATTGACCCTCACACTGTCACAAAGATGGCAGCACCCACAGCTGAAAAGGAGGGAATATGCTAATTAACTACCCCACCCTCAAAGATGGCGGTGCCCACAGCCAATAAGGAGGGAATATGCTAATTGACTGCCCACCCTCAAAGATGGCAGCGCCCACAGCCACAAGATGGCCGGTAGGGGAGGGCAGTTAGGAGTGACTGGGTCGGCAGGGGAGGGCAGTTGGGGGCAACCGGGCTGGCAGGGGAGGGCAGTCAGGCATCAATCGGGCTGGCAGGGGAGTGATTAGGGGGTGATCAGGCTGGCAGGCAGAAGTGGTTAGGGGCAATCAGGCAGGCAGGCAGGTAAGCAGTTGGGAGCCAGCAGTCCCGGATTGTGAGAGGGATGTCCGACTGCCGGTTTAGTCCCAATCCCACAGGGGTCCCAGACATCCCCCGAGGGGTCCCAGATTGAAGAGGGTGCAGGCTGGGCTGAGGGACAACTCCCCCCGCCCCATGCATGAATTTTGTGTACGGGGCCTCTAGTAAGGTAAATAAGATAGAAAATATGAAAGATAGAAAATAAGGTAGAAAATAAGAGATAGAAAATAAGATAGAAATTGTAAGATAGAAGATAAAAAATAGGAGATAGAAAATAAGAGGTAGAAAATAAGGTAGAAATCTCTCAGGTTTTGTTAAGCTACTGTAAAGCAAAAAATGGCTGTGGTTGTTGTTGTTTGAGGAAGTAACTTTTATTTCTGACACAGAAAGTGGGCCTAGATTGTAAGCTCTTGCGGCAATTGCATTGTTTCTGGGCTTTGGTTATTTCTGCTTGTATGACGTGATAGCTCCCTGGAACTTTAGGTTCAGACTCAGAGTTGGAGGTCTCCAGCTCTGCAGGACTGAGGGCTGCTCACTTACTCCATGCAGCCGCGGCTGAATAAGCTGAGGAAGGGACCAGACTTACACCAGTGCAGACGGGGCTAATCTGACTGGGATTGGTGCCGGCTCAGTTCCAAAGCCAACAGTCCAAGCAGCCTGATCCTCAGAATCCAGGGGCACCATCCTCGCATCGACAAAGGAGAAGACAATGAAGACTACGCAAGGGACCAAGGGACCAACATGAGGTCAGCTGAAGAAGTTAGCAGCAGAAGGTAGAAAAGCAAGAAGTGGAAGCTACTCCCTCAACCATGTTTCTGGCTATGCTAGTGTTGGTAAGCTGCCAGTTTTCTGTAAAGTCTTGTGCAGCCAAATCTGAGGACTCTCAGTAAGATATACTCCAGCAGCAAAAGAAACTTTTATTTTGTAGAAATCATTCGGAAAATGTTAACATATCTGTAGTTTGGTTTCTCTTATTGCTGTGTTTCATTGGCATTGTTTTGTTATTTTATTAATAGCCAGAAGTTTGTTCTTGATGTTTTGGTTATGCTGCATAATTTGCCTAGAGCTTTTGATGGTGTAAATGGAAGTGTTTAAAAACAGGGGAAAAAGGGGGGGAGAGATGTGAAGAGTGGCCACAGTGTTTGGACAGGTACAAGCCTCGGACTAATGAGAGGGCATAGTCCTCTCATGGCAAAGCCACATGCAAGTCCTAGCTTGGGGGGCAAAGCCCTCCCAGTACAATTATAGCCAAAGGCTATAGTTGTAAGCTTGACCTTATGGTCTGAACCTGTGGTCCCACGTGGCTGAGTGATGTAGGCTGCAGGAGGTGCAGAAAGTAAACAAAGCTTGATCAGGTGCATGTAATAGAGTAGATTCAAAACCCACAATAATCCTGTAACCATGCCCTTACTTTGCCTCGTGGAATCTGGCTATAAAATGAAGACTGTGCAGGCTGTGGCACTGTCACTAGCTCTCCATCAGAGAGGACAGTGCCCCACCCAGAACAGCTTTTTTTCTTTTGTCTGTCTTTTCTTAATCCTTCACCGCCCCCTCTCAGGGTCACAGAACCTGGCTGAGCTGGCTCAGCACATATGGCGCCCAATGTGGGGCTGAGCATGCCATAGCCGTGCCTGCTCTCCACAGATATAAAATTAAATGATGTAATTAATGTTGAAGCACTCATGACTTTGCCCCCACAGGACATTTGAAAATGTCTGGAGATATTTTTGATTTTCACAACTGGGTGGTAGGTGGTACTCCTGTCATCTTGTGGGTACAGGCCAGGGACTCCTTCATGTCCTACAATGCACTTGGCAGGTTCCTCCTCCTCCAACTGTCCTCAACTGTCAATAGTGTGAGGCTGAGAAATCCTGTCTAGGTTCATCTTCTTGGTTCTGCTTTACTCAGGAAATCTGAGAAATGAAACCTTTACTGAGTTTCCTGAGTAGGTAAATGATTTAGGGAGGGGTGGGTACAGGATGTTGGGGAGAGCAGGTTCAGGTGTTAATCTGAGTCGCTTGTAGTTATATATGGATCTGATTGTCAGTATTCACTGGCCTCGGCTCCCAAGTTGGTAGATGAATAGAATAGGAGGACATGACTGCAGAATTTATAGAAATAGTTGTATCTATTTCAAAGGGTTTGGGTGTCTGGTCATAACCATAAACTTTAGATGGGGTGATATAGTGGTGCGATATTACTGTGTTATGTCAGTATGTTGGGTTTACAAAGACTCTCCCAGCTCATTTA